GATGGAGGAAGGCCAGTGGATGTAGTGTACCTGGATGGAGAAGCAGAGTGTATAACATGGAAACCAAGTGTCTACTGGGCAGCTTAGGGATGTAAATGGATTCAAGATCAGTTAGCAGTTACTGTATACCTGTCACGTCCCGCAATTGATAAGGAAGTGTCTAATTTGCATATAGGACTAAGGTGGGAATTCTCTAAAACTTTCCGGTCCCATTGCAATAAGAGTTTGTCTCTCTTTGAAATGTCCTTTATCAAAGAAAAGCCGATAGTTATTGTGCTCTTCAGGAAGTAGACAGACCATGAAATCTGCATTAGAATGGGGGTTAGGAGGCCTGGCACAGATGTCAGAAGTGCTTTAGAACTTGCAGTGTTACAGATACGCAAAGTGGGGCTAATCTGAGGGTGGTGAGCAAGAGTTTGGAAAGGAATTTTGGGGTTAATCCACAAAAGGGAAGATAACGGGGTGGGAGACTTAGCATTCTGAGCTCCTGAAATGCATTGGCTGTTTTATATTCTTATATCGATGTTACAAGATTTTCAGACTCTTAGTTGCTGGTCTGAAGCTCTCATTTCACTTTCTAAAACTCAACAATGGCCCCCAACAACTCAGCGGCTCAGATCTGATGAAACCAGGAAAAAAGATCTCTGGAAATATCTACAACATAACCCCCTGTCTGTGAACTGAGTAGTTGGAAGGGTTCAGTTCTTCTTTATTGCTGGGTATGGGGATAGTTGGAGACTTTTGTATAACGTTGGGTCTGCTGTAGGACAATGATACCATGTGACATTTTAGGGACATCAAGGTGCTGATCTCTTTTCTCACAGTAGGAGCTGAGAACATCCGGGGCCCCAGTGAAGTCACCATCCAATATGGAGGCTCCTTATCTGTGACGTGTGAATACAATGATGGCTTCCAATCTTATGTGAAGTATTGGTGTAAAGGGGAGTCATGGAAATCCTGTGCCTCCATCATCAAATCAGGAGACGGAAGTCATCACAGATATTCCATACAGGACTATCCAGGAGAGCGTAAGTTTACCATCACCGGCAGAGAAATGAGACCGGAAGATTCCGACACTTACTACTGGGGGATGGAGCGAGCCTTCTCTGATGACATGCACGCCGTGAGAGTGACCGTCCTCCCAGGTAAACCCTTCTCTGGACATTGTGTCAGTGTTGTGTTATTTGGTTTTATTGTCACAATGATGTCACACAAGGGGGCTGCACAACTGTTACATATCAGAACAATGTTTGGGCTCCACAACTTTTTTTCTTGGAAGGGTTAGAAGCGCTTTCAGTTTTTTTGGCTTTCCATTGCTTCCACTGGAATTAAAAGGGAACAATCCCCCCCAGCTAAATCTTAGACAATAATAAAGCATATTTAATACAGAGGGGACTGTCAGGTTGTCAGTACTGTCTGTGTCCACCCCTAGGGAGATATAACATAGAGAGATACAAAGTAACATTGTTTATAAACATTGAT